TGACACGTGTTTTTAATACAAATTATCCAATTGTGTACAGATTATACTTTTCGAGATTCCAGTAAATTTACTGATAAAATTTATTCACAAATATTGTAATATAAATAAATTACAGGGGCTTTCTGCATATATTACCTTTCATATATTAATATTAGCATATTATTGCATATATTAATATTAATACTGCATCATATGGATGAAGTTAAATAAAACTCGTCAACAAAACTAATACTTATAATACAAGGGAAGTTTCATAACAAGGGAAGTTTCATAACTGTTCGGAAAAAATTTTGTTAACAAAAGTTGTACGGTTTCAAGAGTATTTCAATATTGTGAAGAAAAAAAAATTTTTTAAATTTTTTTGTTTAACAATTGTTAACAAAAGAATTTAAAAAAAATTTTTTTACCATATAACTTTTTGTTTAAAAAAATTTTTTCCATCTTTTATATTTCCGACGGTATTCGGCTCGAAATAGAAATACCGTTCTTTTTTTTTCAAAGGGATGTTTCATCCCTTAAACATAAATTAGCACACATATAAAAAAAATACGTGTCTCTTAGATTTTCGTGTTTAACAACATATTTCATGGAGAATTAAATCGGTTCCGGACAGTTGTGAAACTTCCCTTGTAAGTGTAACTCCGCGTAATACAAAATCTCACTAGACACTCGACGATCGGAAAGTAATTATCTGGCACACACGAGAGCGAATGCGCGATTTTCTCCAATTATTATGGCCAATGCTAAACTACTGAAAATGTCACAGGCGTGACGGGCCCGGTGGATGGATGTTACTGGATCGGGTTAAGTGGCTTTGGAGAAAGCCAGCTACCTCCGCCTTTTCCTTAAGCAGTCACGAAACCGCCGGCATACGTCTATGCCGCGTCGGCAAATCGTCATGCCGACCTTCACCCGACGGTCGTGTCGCGATGCAAATCGACGAAGAATAATAACGCCGCGCTGTCGTAAGTCGAGAGGTTTTCATTCCTCTAATCGGGACAGCAGGTAAGTCTGAGACGTGGGGACTTACATTCGCGGGGATCTCGTCTCTCTCGCTTGCGTCTCTCAGCAGCAGATTTATCGCGAGACGTACGTGAAAGTTGTATTTGATCCTACCGATTCGCCGATTGATAGCAACGCGAGAACATCTCGATGATCGGGAAGTGCCGACGATATTCAAACGTGGCATTAGAAATATGTGTGTTTACATTGCTAACTCAGATATGAAGAAGGAATAGTGAAGACTTCCTAATTTCTAATCTTCCTTATTTTGCGATTAACATAATTAATAAAATTAACAGAGAAAATATTGATCTTTTTTTTTATTGTTTATCATGTTAATCGTTAGTGTCTATTTTAATTGTTTATATAAACGTGTTAAAACTTTTAACACATATAAATATTGTATATATTGAGAAAAATGTTTTGGTTGTACCAACAAGAAGTACAAACAAACTGAATTCTGATCATATCAATCATATCGTAAATGAATTTCTGCTTATCTTATTGGTTGAATCTATCAGAATTCTGATTAATGCAACAAGACTTTTTTTCATGTAACACTGATTCTATGGAGATAATAGGTGGTACTATGTTTTAGGTATTTTAAAGTGTAAAAAGATATATGCAAAAAATCTGTAATTTATCGTTGACGGAGTCCATGTTAACTACAACCTCGTAAATCTCAATGCAAACAGAAACAGGAAAAATGTAAATTAATTGTTATTGCAAAAATGAAAATTAGCCGCGTGGAATAAAACAGCTGGGAATGGAACATTGAAGTATAACAGAGAAGTACGTGGTTATGAATTTTTTCAAGGCCTTGGAACGAATCGCAAATTAAAAGGAACTCCACTAATCGCGCAATTATGTTATTTACTCGGAAAATATATGTGTTTCCTCGACAAGTGTTTCCCTGTAGTAATCATAAAGTTATACCTTATCATTGCTCGTCATACCGCTCTCAATTTCTCGTCAAACTAAAAAAGACGTTGCGGTTCAATTCTAATGTGAGATCAAGGCAGCCTGTATATTTAGAGAAAAAAATTCACTAAGAAACGCGGATAACCATTTCACATAACATCTATACTGATCTTTATTAGCGCTCTTACTATAAATAATATATATTTTTTAATCGGTAAACTGTTCACAAAACTAAAAAAATTGTTGGTAACATATTTTCACATTTAATGATTATTGAAAGTCGAATTAACCGTTATTGTTAATACAAAATTGATCATTCGTGTCTTGCAGATTTCTTTTCTTCGAAAAAATAGGAGCATGTAGTAATTAGTTATAACATTTATATACAATTTTTTTGAATACCCAACCTTATACTTTCTACAGATGTTATAGTATGTGTAAGAATCCTTTAATAATTTTTGTATACTTATTAAAGTGATAAAAATTAACTCGGAATACGAACGACGTGTGTAGTAAAAAATCGAGAAATCATATACTGAAGATTAAATTAGCATATTAATACCAAAAAGATACGCGATGTGAATAAGAAAAAGAAACTGTAAAATACTGTTAAATTCTATACACACTATAAATGTTCAAGGATAAAGAACGCGATACTAATATTGAACGAGTAGATGGGCAAAAATATGCTATGAAAAAAATTATACCTTTCACGAGGACAGATTAAAACTTCATTAGTTTTTAGTCCGGTAAAAAAAAGTAAATTTTCGATCGACCTAACGGTGGTTTGAGCTATGTGTATTGACTAGCGTGATCATAGTTGACCAATCCTTCGTATAAAAATAGCAAAGGTTACGAGAAACGAACGGTTGCTTCTGGTTGTGGTGCTGCTGATGGTACCAGCAAGATAGCGGACGCCTGGGAGCGCGAAGTGCGTCGGCGCTAGGACGTCGCTGCCGAGTGATCGATCAACGGATTTTCTTCAGGATCAGCGCAACCTGGTGTAGCCGCGGCGCAGGGTCACGGTCTGACCTTGGTGGGAGACTCGATGACGTCGCAGGGATTTAACGACCCTAGTATGCGTCCGTGATGACGCTCGACAACTTGACGACGTTCCTAAGTAATTATGTACCTTTTCCGCTATCCCTCAAAAACAGATTCAAGGAGGTAATAAGCTAGGAAAATCTATCAGGTGTATAGTCTCTGCAAAAAATGACGGAAATTGGAAATTTATACTTTCCGTATGAAAATGAACGTTATATATGTATGAAACTGTTCAGTAAGGTCCATATTTATATTTAACAATTCAATTTTATAGTATGAATAAAAATTTTCACAATTCACACACATCTTAATTATTTTTATTAAAAACATGTATACTTCTTATTAAAATAATTTTTTACCTAAGTTCACCGTTTAATTTTTGTATTATTTTCAAATACAATATAGAAAAATCTGTAATTTTTTCATTTTGTTAAAAAATACTTGTAATACACCCTTAAGTGTTTTAGAAAGAGAGAGAGTGTCTCGTTTTAGACACAAGTTTCTAATGTCGATAAGAAACGATTATTAAATGGTGAGGTAAAAGTAAAAACAATGCGGAAAGGTGTATTCTTTTCACAGAGTTTTTTCATCAAGAAGAGGTAGTATAAAGGAGATGAGGGAAGACAGAGAGAAGAACCGTATAAAAATGGTGATATATATAGGAAGAGATGAGGAAGGCGAAGACTTTTTGCCCTCTTATGACAATCCGCCGCGAGCATTTACGCGAAGAAAAATGGACGCTCACGTCATGTGAAAGGGCACGGAGCAATCCTGACCCAGTTTTCCAGCCGTGTCCTGGGTCATGACCATCGATTGTTTCCCCTCTCTGGTCATGGCGTCGCGACCCAAATGTTTCGGATCTTCCCTGGGATTAGGCGCTGTAACGATCGCCGGGAATTTATGGCGTTGCAAGGTGTCGTGCGCGCGGCGTGTAGTAGCTCTACCAGGAGAATACCACCTCCCAAGGCACTTATAGTTTATATCGTATCTTAGATCTGGTCGGGTAGGTTACAGGTGTCGCTGACCGGCGCGTATGAGGCAGTTTAATTGGGATTTATGTCGACAGTGTAGTCTTTCCGGATATTTCGCTGATAGTGGTTAAGAGACTAGCGCGCTTTCGAAGCTTTTTCTCACGACGATCTTCTACTGAAAAATTTGTGACTCGAGTCTGCAAACCACAAATTAACTTGGACACTTGGAGTAACACTTAAAGATTGACGGTGTCTTATTCAAATTACACAGCCTTGACTATAAATATGAAGCACCCTCAATTTATTGCATTTCCCAGAAAAGGCGAACAATAAAAGAGGCCTAACAAAATGTTAAAACTATTATAAATATAAATATTATTCAATAAAACTATTTTTAAATTTATTTTTCGTTAAATATAAAACGTTTACCATGATTTGTAGGGGTGTTTTATACGTAAGCGGCCTCTATAGATGCTCAATATTATTATATAATTATTTTGCTGTCCCTTTTAAACAATTCAAAACAAACAGTCTAGAAATTTAATGTAGCTTCCAAATGATTAATAAAATATTATGTAATATCAGATATTATGCAATAATATTGATCGTATAAGGCTCATATATAAATTAAATGTGTTACATTTTACACAATCCATTAGACATATATTTTATTTATCAAAAAACTCATATCGTGAGCATGTACGATTTCGAGAAAGACAGATTAAATAATAAATCCCAGTGTATATACTTCGCCAAACGTGATCCGTCAGCGCATAATAACTAACTGCTAACTAAGGTATAATAATTTATAGGACAATAGCAACTCTGAATTTACCAGCGTTTCGAGTCAGCAATGTCTCGTTATTACGTAAATACAGGTAAAGTTAATACAATGCGTAGCTCTATATATCACTTCATTGTTATATTCGTGAGGTATATGCTGCGGTGCGATCAAAGCATCGAGTTTTAACGATATTAAACGTAACGTCGTGTTACTTTCTACATTTCTTTTCGATTCTATAAAATACATTTATACAGAGCCACGGGCCTTAACCCACTTACCGAAAGTCACGATCACGGTCAATGCCTGTGTGCTCGATCTTCCAGCATGCGTCATGTTATGGAGAGAAAAGAATCGTCTACATCAGCCGGAGAGAACCATTTGATAATTTGTAGTTTCACTAGTCGACGGATCAACTCTATAACAAATTGCGTAAACAACTTGCATTAGCATCTTTAATGCTAGCGTTAGGCATCACAGATTAATCATATATGTCTGTCGAACTTGGTTAACCATAGTTAAGTTAATTAATAAATGTTTACTATGTACGTTAATACTAGCGTCGACGGACGAGGAAATGAAAAACCACATGCCCGGTAATTTACCGTGTATCCTACGCGGATAAAACACACGGTAACGAGGTGCCCGTACGGCGCACCTGTACCTGTAAAATAAATGAGATTCCATTCAATGGTGGACGGCAGCATACACTAAAAGATATAGGTCCTGACCTACTTCAAACCAGTCACGATCAAGGACCGAACGTCTCAAACTCTCTAAGAAGGCGTATTGAGAAGAGGAAGCTGATTTCGATCATAATGATTATTCGATGGAAACCGTACTTGAAAACTTCTATATACAGAATAATTAGAAGAATATCGTATCACTTCCTTGCTCTAAAAGTAATACAACTAAAAAAATGTGATTTTTTAGTTATTAGTATAAATAAGTTAAAGATTACTCTGTCAATTAAAATTAAACTGACTTAACTTCACAGTCTGCGAAGTTAAGTTATGCATCTCCGATAATTTATGCATCTCTGATAGTTTATTATCAATAAACTGTCTAACAGCAGCAAGAGAAAGAGATGAGAATATAAAGAGAACATAAATTAACGAATACAGTTTCTTTTTTATCAAAACTAAATCCTGTTTATTAAAATCTCAATCTGCTATTATAAAGGCTACTCTTCCCCCCTCTCCACCCCACGCGTTATCAAGTAGTAGCGCAAGCCATGAGAGCACATGAGGGCGCGTAATTAAAATTGCATGGCTGTGATGTACACATATTTTAAAATTCTTTACAGCCATTTTATTTTTCCAGAAAATTTTGTTAAATCCCTGACTTTGCCATGACTTCCCTGATTTCTCTGCTTGTGACAACCCTGATTAATAAATATTTTATATATGTATTGTACTTCACTCTCTTTAATTTTGGGCTGTACGATATTTCTCAAATTTCAATTGTTTGCAAGATTATTTGAAAAAAAAAATTATAAAGTTTAAATGTCATTTAACTACAAACAAAAAATGGGTTTCGAATAAGTTCGATGACAAGTGTGAATAAGTTGGATTTCGCGATATTATTCAAATGCGTGGCCGAGCATTAATATAAAACAGTGCCTGAAGTGAAAGAGCTATGAGAACCCAGACCGTTATCAATTACGCATTCCTACGTTGCAAGGCTACGTTTGAGAGAGCCATACATGGATTCTTCGAGACCCGTCATAATTTCACCATGATTATATGGGAAGCAAATGGTTTCGTGGTTTTCACCATCTCGTACAAATTACAGGATATAATTGTCAATTATATATATATTGATGCTCGTCTACGATGACGGCACGTTGTCATTGCTTTGGAATTGTTGATTTCTACGAATTATATTTCCTACAATGTGTATGTGAGCCCTAATCAAATTCTATTAGCAACTAGCTACGACTATCATCTGCCATCGGGACTGTAATATTGATAACAGCATTCAATTACACTGAAGATAAAGTAGTTGACGAAGGTGTAAATCAACATTTATGAATGCAGATAATGTTACGATAATATGTGTTTTCGTTATTAAAGATTATTTAAATATTAATGTATTAATTTCTATACTTTTAAGGAAATAAAATACATTATATTTTATACGATATATTAATAATAATTATTATTTCACATTTATAAAAAATGTTTCAGTTTCTACAATATTTAAAAAAAATTTAGACGATAGCAAGAAACTATTAAAATTGCTATTTTATAATTTATAATTATACATAATGATATATAATATAATTATATATA